TATATATACATGAACCCCTCCCTCAAACAGTTTATAAACTATTTGCAATCTGTTGTTATACGCAAATGTATGTGATAAACTCGTTTTCAATTATACCACTTTTTTTCTGTTGATGGAAAGATATACCGCCTTAATTTTTGCCTATTTGTGCATGTCGAGAGTACCAGAGGCCGAAGGATTCAAATTTCTCCTTTTTTTTTTTTTTTTTCAATTTATAGATCGTTTCGAGTGGGTCTTTTCACAAGACCACTCAACGTCTTTCGAGGAAACGCTCCCGACACATCTTTGAATTGACTTTTGACGCCGGTCGAGTGGATCTCCTCTCTTTGAATTGACTTTTGACGCCGGTCAATCTGACAGCTTTTGAAACATCTACAAAAAAAATTGTTTCGAAAGGCTATGTGACGAAGACACAACGTCGATTTTATTGGTTTCGAAAGGCTGTGTGGCGAGCCCCTGTGTCTCCCGCCCCCAACGAACACAGTCGGCTGAAAGGAAAAAAACAAAAAATAAAAAAAGAATCCCTGCTCTCCCCTCGCGGTCATACAAATTTTTGTATTAGGGGTATAATGTACTTGGTAAGGCTCGCAAGTGGCAACTCAGGAGGTCATGGGTTCAATCCCCAGTGGCCTCACGTGCCTTCCTGCGCATCGTTGGCGCCCCCCCACTATGGAGCAGTCTGCTGATGTTCGTAGTGGAAGGGACTGTGATAAGGAGGCACACGGATTGGTCCTGTTGGCATGATCTCTAATGCTACCGAGTGTCCTTTGGCCGGCATTGCCCACCCGCATGTCAGGAGCAGTCCCCGAAGTACCAGTTTGATGCCTCTTCTAGTTGGTACGGTATTCCCTGTATCCTTTTTGTTATTTGTTTTCTTGAAGCTGCCTTCTCCTCATTATTTCATTTCCATATGTTTTTCTGTCACCAAAAACGAGATTTTTAACTGGCGATCTGCCATGCCATGGATCATGTCGTTCTCTCTCTCTCTCTCTCTCTCTCTCTCTCTCTCTCTCCCCGTGAATGTCATTACCGTATCACACGGCTTACACTTGTGACGATCTGGTTGGGAAGGGGGGGCCGTATATGAAGATGTTGTTGCCGAATTCCGGCATAAGTGGCACCCAGTTTACGACCTTTCAAAAATATGAGGGGTTTAATGTGTGTATTGTTCTTATTGCATTGCATTTACCTACCTTTCTCTGAGTTTGTCACGATGTGGTTAGGATGTGGGGGCCGTGTATTAAGACGTTGTTGTCGTATTCCGGCGTAAGTGACAGCAAGTTCCCAACCGTGTTGAAGTGTGGGGTTCCTTGTGTGTGTGTTTTTCATATACCATTGATTGCTCTCTCTCTCTCTCTCTCTCTCTCTCTCTCTCTCTCTCTCTCTCTCTCTCTCTCTATCTATCTATCTATCTATCTATCTATCTATCTATCTCTGTTGTGAATCTCTCTCTCTCTCCCTTCCACCCTTCACAAGCGCTTCCAACATGTTGTTGTTGTTGTAATTTTTGTTTTTTTTCGTCCGTTTTTTTTTTTTTTTCCTTTTTGTATTTTGACTATTTCGTCATTTATGTGTGTCATCCTTCCGCAGAGGCTATGCAACTTTTCCCGAACAAGTGAGACACGGTTGGGAATTGGGGGGCCAAATAACACCACTAAAACACGCAATTGTGCAAGACCGGACCACTTGCTCGCCATCCGCCACACACACACACACAGTCGACAACCAATCATGTATCGAAATGCGGGTCAACAACCATGTTGGAAACTTGTTGGGAAAAAGTTTAACACCTGTAGGAAACCATGTTGGACTTGTTGAGAAAGAGTTGGAGATTTGTAGGAAACCATTGTGGAATAGTTGAGCTGCAAGTTGACAATGTTGAGAAGAAGTTGAACACAGATGAAGACCCGCTTTCAGCAGTTGGTCATAGCCCTTGTGGCCTGAATAAGTTGGACATGAAAATGAAAATTTGTTGGAATTCGGCGACATTTTTTCTGTTGTAGTAAGTTGCTTTATGCTTTCACTTAGCCTGTTAGCTGTGACATTGTTGCTATTGTGACATTTTCTACCCTAGGCTGCATCGCATGGACTCAACATGGAGCTTGCTCCGCATTGTAGACTGCTCGGGTTTTCTTTTCTTTGGTAAAGTTTCGTTTCTTAGCGGAAGCGTGCTTGTATCCATGCGATCCATCACAGGCCAAGGATCGTGTAGCGGACCTCTGGTTGACCTTTGAGACCAACCCCTTGGCCTGGTCTCATAGGACTGTGTTGTACTCGGGGTAGTCCAGTCCAGGCCGGTACCTCTGTCCGTACCAGCCAGTTGAGTCCAGTCCAATCAGTCCGCTGGGGTTTGGATCATTCTACATTCGCACAATTTGGAGTACGTGTGTTGGAGTCTGCGTGGGAGCTGCGTTGTGCCATTTTGCCCCACCCTCATCCTCGATCTCTATCTCTATCCCAGGCGGAGCACCTCACCCGGTGGGTCCGCCACAATTTGTAATGAAAAGTTATTTTGCTCTAAAAAAAAAAAAAAAAAAAAAAAAAAAAAAACGTTTCGAGAGTGGCGCTATAGCGTGGCTTCTGACAACTCTCGATCGGGTTTCGAGAGTTTCCCAATCGAACGTAAGGGCCTCATTAAACCCTCCTTATGAATGTGAAAACACTCCTGAGAGATTTCCTTGGGTTCCTCTAAATCCCCAACCAAAACGTCATTGGATTGAAGAGGTCCTCACGAGGTCCCTTGGGTTAAAGAAGCCGCGATTGACAGAGTGTTTTGGAGTGAGCACGGACAAAAAAAAATTGAGTCCATGTTGGCGCACATGTTGTCCGTGGTCCATTGGACGGACATCGCCGTCCTCCAGTACCCGTCCACCGTTACTGTTGGTGCAAAAATGCGTGGGGGTGGTTCTTGAGCTGCGAGGCACTTCACGAAGCAGGTTTTTGCGTGCGTGCATCGCCGACTGTGATGTCCAACGGCCGAATTTTTAAAATTTTCTACAAGCGATGTTGAAGCACTGTTGGCCGATTGCTGTCATCTGCCAAGCGTGTGTTGTCGGCTATTGCCGGGCGCATTGATGCAAGCTTTGTTGGTACACGCCTTGCGTGTTGCGATTCACAATAGACGTCCTCTGGCGGTTTTCGCTCTTGCTGCTGGTCACTCTTCTCCTGCTCCTTGTCGTGTTGTTTTACGTGTGCATCGTTGTGGGGGGTCCTGGCAACAGACGAAAACGAGAAACAGTGAGGAAAACGACGATGGACAAATGGGAAACCTCTAGCAGATAGCTGACGTGCGCCATTAACAACTTCATTCCGCAACTTCTCCTTGTAGTAACCCTCCTTAAATTGTCAACCTGCCTGAGATCCTCCTATGTCCCTCTCTCCTTCTCCTCATCTACCATCTCGGCGTTGTCCGTGGGATCATACTCGATGCCATGACGCAGCAGAATTGCACAATGGATTCCGATAATGATACACGATCATGTGCATCCATCACTTGTTGCATCAACTGCCTCTACCTGGGAATGAACAATCTCATCCTCAGGAGAGTTGTCGTTCTCTCAATGCGATAATGCATGGCGACGATTGACACAACTGCAACCACTGTGTTTCTCTCCAATGTTGTTAATGCCTTCGCACCACCCGGGAACTCTCCCATCGCCAGGACTTGCAATGCACAAGCACCCACCACTTGTTCACCCGCCGTCCCACTCGCTGCACCTTCTGCACGCCGATGGGGACCGCCCTCAATGCACAAGCACCCACCACTCGTTTGCCTGCCGACGCCCTCGCTGCACCTTCTGCACGTCGATGGGGACCGCTCTCGTACTCTCCATGTTTCACGGAAGCGTTACGTTGCTCAGTTGTAATAGCCCAAAGAGCATGCGGAACATGAAGGCTAGAGAACCGTTACACATACACTAGATCACCCAACGTTCCAATGCCCTCCTTTTAAGCCATGGCCGCCATCACTCCTCCTCACAAACGTTTCGTCCCAGTCTCCAGTCCAGCCGCCAGGACGCCTCACGCGTGGTCACAATGGAGGGCTCAAAATCTGAAATTTGAACCGAGATGTTGGCGCCCTTTGTTTTCCTCACTCCGGTAGGCCTCCCCGCCGTCGCCACTGGACCACGCCCGAGGATGCACGGACATCCCAGCACGATGACGAACATCCATTCGAACCTAGATGTTGGCGCCCTTTGTTTTCTTCACTTCGGTAGGCCTCCCCGCACATCGCCACTGGACCACGCCCGAGGATGCACGGACATCCCAGCACGATGACGGACATCCACCCCCGCGGCTTCGTGTATGCGTATGAAATTGGCCGCCGGAGACCCCCAAGAGTTTTCCTTGGGACCCGTCGAATTAGGAGACGGTGTAACTACGAACCCAAAACCGAAAATTTTTCCAAGGATTCCGTCCTAATTCCTGAGGATTTTCCAAGGAGGGTCTAACGAGGCCCTAAGTGCAAGGAAGACCCACTCTCAAAACTTCTAGAGTCTCGTCACTCCGCTCAACACTGGGCTGGGAGGCCGCGGCCACGCGGTTTGTCAGTATCAACTGAGGTAGGCCCGTTGGCGAGTTCGCGTTTGTCAAGGAGAAGAGTATTTGACAACCAATAGTGGGAAAAGGATGTGACGGGGCGTCGTGAACGATGTGGTTGTTTCGTTGATGAAGCCAGTGTCGCGTATCTCGTTGGGATGATGTGGCTAGGCGCTCGTGTTTCCTCGTCTTTGTGTATGACTTTGATCTGTGTTCCGATCCCAGTGGCTAGACTCTGCGGCTAGGCGTCTCCTCTCTTGTGAATGCGATTGGTATTCCGAAGGTTTGTGGTTCGCGAACAGGCAGGCTGCGGAGATAAGTGCTCTTTTTGAAGATCTGAAGAGATTTGATCTGGTGGGAAGTTTGTGAGTGCAGCACGTGGGCGCGGCTGGGTGGGTCCTGCTCGTGCGTGCCAGCCCGTGCTCGTGCTCGAACGCGTGGCGCGCGATCGTGGCTTGCCTCCGTGGGTGAAGGGTCTTTCTTCTCCCGATTCGCGACAAGCAGGAGGGAAAAGGGCAAGAGAGGGAGCAATCACAGATTGCGTTTCCAAGATTCCGATCTTTTCGAATCATAATTGCGAAGGTAAACATGGGATCGCTGAAGAAGTCCGCGCGAAGCAGAATGGTAGCCGAGGACGGGCGAAGTAGTAGAGGAGGGGGTAAGGATGAATCATTGGATGGGAGCTCGAAAGCCGTCACTGGCACCGCTGGGCTCGGGTCACTCCACAGTATCGAGGGCATCTGTGACTACTGTGGAGAGGTCTGCGACAGTACCTGTGATGAACTCAATGCGATCTCTTGTTCTTTTGAAGGCTGCACGAATCCTGGCGTATACCACCAAATATGCGTGGAAACGTACCTCAGGAGCATTCGCCTGGACAAGTGAGTGAGTGCTGGTGAACGCATACCTGTGTGCCCTGTTCTTTCCTTGTTTACGGTTATGCATTCGGCTTTCCTACTCTTTCTCCTCATCTTCCTCCTGGAACGCCTGCGTGCCCTGCCCTCGGTTTTCTTACGGGTGTGCTTCAAGCTGCTCATCCTCTTTCCATCTCCTCCTTCCTCCTGAGTTCTTTCGTTCTTTGCTTTTCCTTCCCCCCCTTTGTGCTTGTTTCGTCATCGAACGGACCAGCCCCAGGTAGTTCAGAGTTGTTTTGGTTCAGCCGCTTTCAACAGGACTCGAACGGAGCTCTGTTTATCAACTGTTATATGGGTGCACCATTCAGCCACAGGAGCTGGTGTTTCCTGTTTTCTTTTCCTTGCTCCTGCTCTTTCTTTAAATCCTCTTTTTTTTTGGTTTTAAAACAATCGCTCTGTCTATGGTATATGATTCCGTGATGAATGTCATCTGGCGTGCCTTCATCCGTCTCGTGCCCTCGCACCTAATCTTCGTCCCCCGATCTATTGTCTGGGAAGCTTCAGCTCTACGTTCGCAAAACCCAGTCCGCGAAAGTTTCCCAAATACAGCTATTATTACCTAAGTAGCACAGCATTCCGGGCCGGATTGCTTGACCGGAAATATCCGGCATCCGCTTTATCCGGAATTCCGGACAAACCGGAAACTGCCGCGTGAAAGGAAAAAAAATAAAAATTTGAACCGGGGCTGGATTGCGCTTTACAGAGGCTCCTCCCACATGCCGAAATACACGGATTTTTTATATTTTTTTGATAGTGTACTAGACTATTAAAATATTAATAGTACTACATATAAAATAATGATATACTATAAACTCCTCCTCCCCCTACTACTACTGCTGCTGCTGCGACTACTACTGGGACTACTACTGCTGCTACTACTGCTGCTGCGACTACTACGACTACTACTGCGGCTGCTACTATACTACTACAACAACGGCTTCTTCATCTCTCTTCTCTTCCTTTTCCTCGCCTTCTTCTACTGCTCCTTGTCCTCCATCTTCGTCGTCTCCTCCCCTAGTCTCTTCCCCTACACGTCCTCCCCTCCCTTCGCCATTATCCTCCTTGCCATCACCCTTGTCGGGAGAGGGTCGGGATTCGGAGAATGAGTGTCGGGGAGGGGAGCGGAGGGTCACGAGGTGAGGAAGAGGGTCGGGAAAAAGGCAGAGGGTCATGAAGGGGAAGTGGAGGGTCGGAGAGGGGAGGAGGTGGTTCGGGAGAGAGGATGATGGTCTGAGAGGGGAGGTGGAGGTTAGGGGAGGGGACGAGGAGGGTCGGAGATGGGAGGTGGAGGGTCCCGGAAGGTTCGAGAGGACGGATGGAAGCGGCCGATTGTCGGAGAGGGGAGGCGGAGTAGGAGGAGGAGATAGATAAACAGACAGATAGATAGATCGATAGAAGAAGAATAAAAAAGAAAAATACGATGATCGTCGATATTGTCATCTCATGTGAAGGCGGAGGGTCCGAGACGAGACGATGAGGTTCGAGAGATGCTCGGGAGAAGGAGGACGAGGGTCGGGGAAGGGAGACGGAGGCTCCAGGAGAGGAAGATGAGGGTCGGCAGAGGGAGGAGGGTCGGTGAGCGGAGGAGACTCGGGGAGGGGAGGCGGGAGGATCGGAGACGGTAGCAGTTGGTTCGGGAGAGGAAGAACGAGGGTCGGGGGAGACGGAGGGTCGGTAGTTGGTTCGGGAGAGGAAGGACGAGGGTCGGGAAGGGAAGGAGGGTCGGACAGGGGAGGCGCACTAGGAGGAGGAGGTACAATCAACCAATCAATCAATGAATCGACGAATGAATCGATCGATCAATCCATCAATCGATCGATCAATCCATCAATCGATCGATCGATCAATCAATCAATCAATCGATCAATCAATCAATCATCGATTGGTTGGTTCATTGATTGATTAATTGTTTGATTGAGTAAATGAATGACCGAATCGGAAAAATAAGAAAACGAAAAAAAAAGGGGCGCGCCGAGGGTGGGCCGAGAACGAGGAGGAACAGGACAGAAGAAGAGTAGGAGGAGAAGAAGAGGAGAAAGAGGAGGAAGAAGTCGTCGGGTTGGTTAAGGCGACGAGGAAAGAAAAAAGTTGTCTTAGAAGAAAGAAAAAATCAAAAAGGGGCGCGCGTGGGAGGAAGACGAGAAAGGAGAGGAGGACGAAGAGGAGGTCGTCGTCGTGGTGAAGGCGACGAGGACGACGACTACCAAAAAAATACAAGAAAAAAGTCGTCGTCGTAGTCACACCGCAAGGAGCGAGAAGAGGAGGACGAAGAGGAGGTCGTCGTCGTGGTGAAGGCGACGAGGACGACTACCAAAAAAAACAAGAAAAAAGTCGTCGTTGTAGTCACACCGCGTGGAGCGAGAGGAGGAGGAAGAAGAAGAGAGGAGGAGGAGGAGGTCGCCGTCGTCCTACGAAGGAGACGACAACGACGACGAAAACCGAACAAACAAAACAAAGACGACAGCGAGAGGATAAGGAAGAAGAAGAGAGGAGGAGGAGGAGGTCGTCGTCGTCCTACGAACGACAACCGAACAAGCAAAACAAAGATAACGATGCCGCCGCCGAAGAGAGAGGAGGAGAGGAGGAAGAAGAAGAGAGGGGGGAGAAGAAGGAAGAGGAAGGAGGAAGAATGGGAATTGGAGGACGAGGAGAAGGTCGTCCTCCTCATCGTGAACGCGACAAGTATGACGATTTCACGACGAGCAAGACGGCGAACAACGACCAGAATAAGAAAAAGAAATATGACGACGTCGGCGCCGTTGTCCAGGCCTTGAGACGAGCAAGAGGAGGAGGAGGAGAGGAAGAAGAAGAGAGAGGAGGAGGAGGAGGTCGGCGTCTTCATTGTCTTCACAACGAGGACGAGGATGACGACCAGAAAAAACAGAGACAAATGCCAGTGTTGTCGTCGTTGCCGTATCTTATATTCGGGGGAACACGGTAGTAGGCCAAACCCTAGGTTCACTCGCGGTGGTCACACGCGCACAGGACAAGGTACTAAGTACACAACAACACAGTAATCCGTGATAGACAATGGGGACGAGGATGAGGAGGAGGCGGGGAACGATTGTCGAACCCGCGACCAGGAAGACGATTGCGCTGGGGGGGAAGTGAGGAGAGTACGGAAGGAGGAGGTGCGCACGACAATCCTTCAATCATCGATCGATTTTATACCGGATGCTTGCTTGTTGTCGTTGATTCATTACGAGCTCCCGACTCGCTCAACGATCCCTCAAAATCCAGTCATTGCTTCCCTCTCTTAGTCCTCACCTTCCACCGAACATAACGCCCCATCATAATGATCTAATACAAACCCTCTTCGGCTCCAAATACAGTCTGATGCAGGACATCGTGTTCAGGAAAAGAAGGTAGCCGCCTTTTCCCCCTCCTCTCCTGCCTTCTAACCCCTCATGGTTCCGATCCTGCTGAATTCCACCTCTGTTTTCTCTACCTGTCATGATCTCCCTCCTCGTTTTATCCTCACATGTAGGCCCCTCATTGCTTCTCTCCCCTCTGCGTCCCTTACTCTTTCTTTCCCTTGATCTTCCCTCCTATCCTACCTTCGTTCTTCCATCTGTACATTCTCCTCTGTTTTAGCTTTTCTACATTGTTTGTATTTACGTATCGTAATGGTGTTCACACTCGTACCAAGCGGTGTCGCAACCAGTATATAGATATACTATATCCTAATGCAACGTCAAACATTCCATCTCATCAGCCTGCAGGTGTGTTCACCGGCCAGCTTACGCGGTTTGAGCAGATTTGTGACAATTGGCATGATTTCAGAACTGCGACAACGATGCTTGTCCGCCGTTTGCTTTCCCGTGGCCATGTTCCTTTGACATTGGCCCGAGGATGGACTTGTTACACTCGTGCTCGCCAGCGTAGACACCCTATAGATGTGACTAGACTTGCAATGGTTTCGCCGTATGCTTGGCTGGTCCGTGCATCATTCTCGTCCACCTTCTCCTCCCCTTCCTTTCCCTTCTCCTTCTCCCTCTCCCGCTCCTCCTCCCCCTTCCTTTTTTCCATCTTCTCATCCTCCTCCCCCTCCCCCTCCCCCTTCTTGTCCATCTTTTGCGAGCATCCTCGTCTTCTTTGTCATCTCACCCTTCTTCTCCTTCTTCCCCTTCTTCTTCTTCGCTTACTTCCCCTTCTACTTCTACTTCTACTTCTTCAAGGCTTTGGCTGGGTTTGCCAAAGCCACCGGTAGAAGCAGGGTTGTACCATACTAAATGAAGTGTGACGAAAGAAAAAACAGAGGGACGGAATGTTCATTTTTAGTAGCATGACGAAGGATAGGGAATAGGGGGAAGGGGGCTGGAAACAGAATAGGCCGGTACGGTACGGTACCACATGTACAATAGGCGGTAGATGTGTAGAGTGCCATACGGGATTGCCGGGGATGGTAGAGTCGAAACCGGCTCACTGCGACTGTTCCAGACTGGGCATGGATTTTTTGTGGAATGCAGGCTAGGTACAGAAAAAAAAAGGGAAAGGCCTGGATAGAGCCTGCTACACAGCGTGAGCCCCACCAGCAGACCGTTGGCGCAAACGTAGGAGTGCATGTCAGGTTGTTGTGGGGTAAGGAACCACGGACGGGCACACCTGGTGTGCGACCTTTTCAGACTAGGCATGATTATTGTGAGGAATGCAGGCCAGGTACGGGAAAAAGGAAACGGCCCTGAGCGAGCCAGCATCGCAGCGTGAGCCCCACCAGCTGGCCGGTACACGTGGGTTTCGAATACTTGGAGTGAACGTAAGCGCACACGTGAGGCTGTTGCGGAGTAGGGAACCACGTACGTGCACACCTAGTCTGATGCAAGCGAGCCAAGTCGAAGGTGAGGCAATCAGTCACAGCCGCACGGGCGGTGAGGGTGTGGACGTGGAGGCAGACTGTACTATATCTTTCGAGGACAAGGCCTGAATGGTCCTCTTCTGCTCTGGGCGGCGCCGTATGGTGGATGCGGGAGTGTGGTAGCCCCTTGAGAAGTCCTGGTGAGCAACCAGGCGAAACGCATCGGGGAATGTGTGCGTTGACCTGGAAGTCCGTGTAGGTGCTGTTTTTGCCTACTCCATGAACATGGACGCGTAGCAGTCGGCCTCCCTACTTCAATTCTTGAATGCGCAATAACCAAACGAGTGGTCGTACTCGACTTGGGGGTAGACCTACAACGAGCTTACGCAGTGATGGTTTGTGGAGTGAACGAGTCGAAAGGTGTGTCTGGAAAGGTAAGAGGGAGTGAGAGGAAGTGATTGTGGAGATAAGTGATGTAGGCGAGGTGAGTGGCAAGTGAAGGAGAGAGCAAGAGGAGTATGGGAGGTTGAGAGATAGCATAAGAGGTATCGAAGGTTGGTATAACTGGGTGTGACAAGTTCAGTAAGTAGGCTTGGAATGTTGAAGAGTGAGAAGGAGATGAGTTGTGAGAATATGTGATTGCTTGATTACAGTACTGGAAAAGATCGTGAAGACTGTGTGAGTGATAAAGTGGGGAAGCGTTGAAAACTAGGAAGTGAAGAAATGAAAACAAGAAGTTTAGAATGACGTCCAGTTCACTATGATCTGTAAGTGTGAGGGGAAGGATGTGCAGGGTATACGTGAGAAGTGTAAACAAGACGTGAGTTGGGCTAGGGCGTACGGTTACGAGTGTAGCCCAGATCTGGTTCTGGTTGTGTTATACTCACGGTGAGGCACATGCACCAAGTGTAGTAGGCTAGCAACACTTGCAATGTTTGACAACGCACTTGTATGGCAAAGCGCCATGCTATGAGTCAGGCATCGGGGTGGGTATGGTGTGTTAATGAAATGCGATGATGAGTATGACGAAGGTAGCTGGAGAAGACGTGACAAGTCTATAGGAGAGAGAAAGTAGGTGCAAGGATGGAAGGTTGAAGGGAGGGATGGTGTTTGGAAGGTGTAAACGGTGGCCAGTGTGTTACAATAGTGACCGCGATGAGAAGTTTGATAAACAGAATACACGTGAGGTGAAAAACAGAATCAGAGTGAACAATGTTGCTTGACTTCAGTGCTGGTGAAGACGGGTCGCGTGAAGACGAAGGAACGAGATTAGTCGCGTTCGGTTTAAACAGGCGGGGTGTTTGTCGTGTGGAGTTTCGTGAACATAGCCGCGGAGCTGTAGGAGTACGACTGAGAAAGGGAAACAAAGTTAAAGTGGACGTGTTTGCCTGTCTTTTGGGCGGGTGCTGATGAGCCATGTCCTGTGAGTGGTAGAGCGGTTGAGAAGTTGAAGACTGCAGGGCGAAGAAACGAGGGCTTGAAGGAGTGAACGGAGTTTGGCTTGCCAAGATCTGTTGAAGCAGCGTGTGGAATGCCGAGTGTGCAGGTGCTGATGAGCCATGTATAGTGTGTGGTAGAGCGGTTGAGAAGGTGAAGACTGCAGGGCGAAGAAACGAGGGCCTGGTGGTGTGAATAGAGTCCAACTTGCCAAGTTCTGTTCGAAGAAGCGTGAGGTATGTCGAGCAGAGCATATGAGAGAAGCATAAACGGATATGCAGATGTGATAATATATGTGAATCCCAGAGACTGGTGTGGTTATGCCGATCTGTTTAAGGAGGTGTGAGGTGCGACGGGCAGAGCATGTGCGAGAAGTATAAACTGATATGCAGTTGTGATACTATATGCGAATCCCAAAGACTTGTGAGATCCGAACTAATTCTTCACGTGCGACCGCCATGTTCAGTTGTATTTGCACGATGGAGGATAGGTGTATGGTGTAGTAGTAGGTGAGAGTATGGAAGCATAAGAGGGAGAAACAAAGATTGGAAGGGGTAAATGACGCCCTGTTTGAGAATTTTGACGAGCGGAATATGCTTGGAGGTGAAAATTAGAGCTAGAGCGATCGAGGGTGCCTGACTTCAGTGCTAGTGAAGACGGGATTTGTGCTTGAGATCGCAGACGACGTGCTGTAAGAGTACGACTGAGAAGAGGAAATAGAGTTTGTGGTGAACTCTGAACTGATTCCTCGCGTGCTGCTATCACGTTCAATTGTAACTGCACAATGTGGGGAATAGGTGCAAGGTGCAGTAGAATATTGTCTCCGACAATATGGGATAACGGTAATCTTGTGGAGAGTGATGGGTTGTTGCGAGTCCTCTTACCAATCTGGTTGGTTGTGCGCCTGGTAGAGAGTCGTACAGTACGGAACAGCACACTCCCGTTACTGCAGAACGAGGCATGTAACAAGGTCCTGTGCGGAACGCTTGAACTAGGCTTGACAGTTAGCTGCAAGTTAGCTGCAAACCCGCTGCAGCCGTGTACCCTCCACAGACAACCCCGTATCCTTCTAGTTATACCACGCCAGTCCACACCCCAGCTTGTGTTCCCCCTCCCCCTCCCCCTCCCCTTCCACCCCCACCCCCTCCTTCCCTTCCACCCGCACCCCCTCCTCCCCTCCCACCCCCACCCCCTCCATGTGTCGGATCAGGGAGCGGGAGTGTTACACTTGTGGTGAATATGGACATTTTGCGCGCGATTGGCCGAATAAGAATAATGGGAGGCAGTGGCAAGGCCAGGGGCGGGACAACTATGGCCTGAGAGGTTATGGACAGGGAGCTAGCTACCAGCCGAGAGTAAATGTAGGAGACGAGAGGATGGACAAGCTACTGCTGTTTTGTCGATAGCCAGTGACAGGAGGCTGAAGAGAGGAGGAAAGTTGAGCAAGAGAGGAAGATGCTTGAAGAAGAGAAACAGATAGTGGAGTAAGCTTAGCAAAGGGAGGAAGCAGAAAGACGATGTATGCAAGTTATCATTCAAGCAACGACAAGACAAGCGTTCAACAAGTAGTTGACAACTTTGGAAGGAAAGATCAAAGACCACGTGAATGCAATGCTGATAACATATGAGGAGAGAAATGCAAGACTATGTGACAGTTTGTGGCGGTTTCTAGAACGTGCTG